CTCCCTCCCTCCCTTTTTTGGGGGGGGCTTATATTATACATTAAAAAATAACCCATAAGTAGCCAGAACAGTTCTTTTAATCTGGATCAAGATCATATTCCTTTGTTGTGATCTCACTGTACCTGCCCATCTTACTGGAATGTAATTTTCTTTCATTAGCTCTTCCAACACCTTCTGATCGGTGGTTGAAAATCAGTAACCTGGTTTCCTGTTAACTAGAGCCAGGGGACACAAACGGGAAAAATGATTCATGCCCTTCCAAACAATTCAGGAAGAGAAATTCCTGGGCATATATGTCACAGTCAACCTCGTTGGCATCGCTGTTCTGCTCACTGTAGCCTTTCGCTTTCCCCCAAATAAAGCATGCAGTTTCTGGCTGACAAAAGGGTGCCCATTCTTCGCTTAGATCTTGAAGCATGGCGTGTTTCATTAACATCTAAAAATAAACAAACTGCTAATATAGCAGTTGCACAGTAACCTGTCTCCGAAGAATTATCAAACCCCTGTCGGCGCATGGTGTTCTAGCGGCCTTTGCAAGTCTCTTGGGTTTCCTTGTGTTTACAGTAAGACGTGGCTGGTTTTATCTGACCTCGATACCTGAAAGGGAATATTTTTTGCAAGTTGCTCCCTGAGGTCAGTTTTGTTTGCTACAGTGATCTTAGGAGGCTTCAGAAATTGGCGGTGGTCACAAAATACTGGGAATTAAGCCTCACAGCATCAGCTAAGAAGACCCACGTTTGACACCCCTAATCCAAGATTTGATTCCAGAATAAATAAGGAAGATACACAATAAGATGATTGCCTTATTTATTGTGTGTTCTCTGATAACTCGGGAGTTGGACAAAAAGCTTCTGATCTGCTTAGCTCTTCTGTGCTGCCGGCCAGCACAAGATCGGGTTCTCAAGCTGGATGCTTACAAAGATAGTAATAAATATGAGAAGCACCAGTTTGAAATCATGAGGGCTAGAAACTGCCCTTTCAAAGGGCAAATATGAGTCCTCTTACTCTATAGATCAGTGTGACACTTCATAGCTTCTTTAGCCCAACGTGGTGCGGGTTGTCTTTTTGTACTATTTTGCCTTTGGAGGCTTTTGCTGTTTGTGTCAATGCAACATGCCTGTGTCAACGTCTTTGTTCATGAAGCGTGGACAGTGAGAAAGCCAGCCTCTTTGGCAGAGTGTGTGTTTTTTCAAACAAAGCTGCACAAGGTTCTGGCTGCAATACACAGCCTTTAGTGTAGGTCTGGTGATTGGTCCATGTGATTGTAGAAAAGGCAGTGGTGTGTAGGAGGGAATGTGTGAGGTTTTTTCGTGAGTGGGGGAGCTGTCTCTGAAAGAGATTCTGTTGGTCAGCGTCGAAAGACTTTCTCGCTGGAGTCAGAACATAATCAGGATTGTTTGGGGTCAAAAGCATTACAGGTGGCTCTGCTGAAGTGAAGGGTTTGGAGTATATAGGCTTAGACTGCTGAACGAGGAAATGGAAGATGCTGATGGCAGGCCAGACAGAGGAGTTGGAGTGATGGGGTCTTACAGGATTGAAGAGTACTAGATATCCTGGGGCTGTCAAGACAAATATACCCCTGCTTGCATTTTAGCATTTTCAGAACTGGCTGGTCTTCCATCACTGTCTGTCATGTAACTTCAGCTTCACAAATGCTGCGGAAGGTGGTGTTCTCAACCTCAGAGGGCATCAGCCGGTGGAATTCAGCCAAAGGCAATGCTTAATGAAGTCAGGGGTCTTTTTTGAATCTCTCAGAGAATGGAGATGGGCTTGTGTGTTTGTTTAGCGATGAGGCACCTGCACTGGAGGTATCTTCCTTATTTATTCTGGAATCAAATCTTGGATTAGGGGTGTCAAACGTGGGTCTTTTTAGCTGAGGCTGTGAGGCTTAATAGAGCAGCCTCTAACCTTTAATCCACATGGTCCACTCCCCTGTGATAAAACTGCTCTAGTCCAGGTGGACACGTGCCCCTAATTGACTTTTGATTTTTCTTTTTTTAGAACCCAAAGATGGCTTAGTTTGAAGGGAGCTGAGATTGGGTGCCAGCCTAAGAGCTATTTATTCATCCTATTTTCTGTCCTGCTTTTCAGTTCTCAACATGCTGGGCAATCCATTTGGGAAGCCACCACTGGGTTTCCTGCCACTAGATCCCATTGGCTCAGAGCTGAGCGAGAACCTTCCGACTCCGACTTTGAGGGCCTCCCGCTTGGACAGCAGTCGATCCCTCCTGTATTCACGTTCCAGCAGTCCCTCTGATTCTGACACTAGTGGATTCAGCTCTGGATCTGACCATCTCTCAGATCTGATTGTAAGAAGCCATTGTTATATTTTCTCACACTGTTTTGGAGACAGAGGTGGGTGGGAAGAAGTTAGATTTTCCCGAGATGTGCTTAAACTTGCTTTGATTTAGTGGAGCTGAAGGGAGTTTAATTTTTGCATTGGTAGGAGGTTGGGCTTGATGACTTTCAAGCTTCTTCCCAAATGTGATTTTTACTGTGCTTCTGATGAACGTCTTTTGCAGTCAAGCCTCCGCATCTCTCCTCCTCTGCCATTCCTGCCTCTTGGAGGCATTACCAGAGATTCCTTAAATGGAGCAGGATCTCACCTGGATCAAGAGCAGGCCACCTTGGCTGCTGTCACGTCCACCCCAACCAGCATGCCCAAGCAGTGGCCTGGGGCCTCTACCTGGCCATCCTGGAACATAACTGACTCCCCAGAGGATCCCTTCAGCATTGAAAGGGAAGCCAGACTGCATAAGCAAGCCGCAGGTGAGCTGGGCGTGGGTGAGGAGGGAGGCAAGGTAAAGTTCCACCAGTGTCTCTGGCTCCTGGGTGAAGCTTCTCTGTGGCTTTCGTCTTCAGCTGTGAACGAGGCAACTTGCACATGGAGTGGGCAGCTCCCACCTCGAAACTACAAAAATCCCGTTTACTCCTGCAAGGTGTTCTTAGGAGGCGTTCCTTGGGACATTACAGAAGGTGAGTTCCTGACAGCCCCTGCACTCCTTTTTCTTGGTTAAGCCCCTACTCTGGTGTGGTGCAGGTAAAAGCCTGATTCAGAAGACACACAACATCAGTCTTTCTTTTGTGGTGCGGCACAATGAAGCAGGTGCCCAACTGTTTTTAAATGGCCAAAGGCTCATGGGGTTCAGCATTCTCACCCTTGAGATCTCATGTACAGTATTGCAGTCTTGGCCATTTTAAAAAAATGGAAACGCTTTCATATTTTTAGGTTTAATTTTACAGATTCATGAGGGTCATTGAACCCTACACATTGAACCCTACAGGGGTCTAAGGCCTTAAAGCTGCAGAAACCCAGGAAGTCTACTGAGGTCCAGCAAAAGCCATACAAGTAGTCACCAAGTGCCCGAATTGTGATTAAAGACCGAAACGGCCACAACTTGGCCACAACTTCAAGGACCGGTCATGAGTCTCCTTTTTCAGTGCCATTGTAACTTTGAATGGTTGCTGAACAAGTGGTCATTAAGTAAGGACTACCTGTACTAGTGTTGCCCTTGCAAGAAAGTTAGGGCAGTTCATCTCCATATCAACAGATAGAAAAGATCAGGGCATTTTTTATCTTCCAGAAATGCATATGATAATGGCTGAAGTTCTTATGTTAATGGTTCTGTGCTCAAGGCTAATCTGCAGCAGAATGAACTGTCAATGGGAGAACTGAATAGTCAAGTTGCAGATAATTAATGCCTTTGATTGTTCCACTTGTGCCTAAAGTTTAAAGAATACTTTTTTTAAAAGAAAAAAAAGAGGATTAAAAATGAAACTGGTAGAGGTGTGTCATGCTTCCCACTTGGAGTCTGAAGAAATGTTGGTTTTTGGAAGTCTGACGACATCTTTTACCAAAGGATGTGCAAACTGGGGGGAGCTGGAGGAGCACACTGGGCCTGTGAGTGTCATGCTGGGCACCACTGATTGACAGTTTGGCAGGGCCAGGATTAAGAAGTGGATGGAACCCCAGCAAAAACTTAGGTTGATTTCCTTTGAATTTAAATACTATATAGTTGGCATGATGAAACATTATAATCTGTCAGCAACTTATGGGAGGACTCAGAGCCAGAATTGTTGAGTTGAGGCCTTGGAGTCTCAATGTGCAATTCTATCTTGTGAAAATCTGTAAATCATTTAGCTAAAAGAGGACTGGGTTGGCTTGCTAGCAAAGAGATGTGTTCAGTCCTCCAAGAATGAGTAAGAAATGTAGGGGCAGGTGACGTTGGACCATCCAGTTGCTGCTTGAACTACAATTCCCAACCTCCTTCACTCTTGGCCATGCCATCTAGGATCCCTGGGGCAAAAGCCAGTTGTACACCAGGTGGTACTTGAATTACACTTCCCAGCCAACAGTGAACCCTGCCTGGGATCACCGGTGGCTAAAATGAAGCAGTGTGGAGAATGCTAGAGCCAATCCTACCCCAGGTGGTACTTGAACTACAGTTCCCAGTATCCTTCACTCTTGGCCACGCCATCTAGGATCACTGGGGCACGGGCTAGAGGCAGCCTTCCCCCATCCTACTTCACGTATTGGAGTGGGAAGACTGATTTGAGTTTGTTTTCCTCACCTCTAATGGAATGTCTTTCCTGTGCAGCGGGTCTGATCAGCACCTTCCGTGTGTTTGGCTCGCTGAGAGTGGAGTGGCCTGGTAAGGATACCAAGCATCCCCGCTGCCCTCCCAAAGGTAATATGCCTAAAGGTAATACAGACATGGTAGGAACTCTTTTTATCCATGCTTCGTATAGAGCACTGAGGGCTCCTGGGCATGATTGCATGCTGGTGACGGATGGGGAGAGCACTGTCGGTTGGTGGCCTCATTCTGGTGCACAGGTTCTTCCCTTTAACCTCCTCCTCTCTACTTTGCTGAGGGAAATCTGCACACTGGGGGCTGTTCAGGGCTGAGGGCCAGGGCTTTGGGGCAGGGGGGGACCCCTGGTTGCCCTCAACAGTTGTCCCCATCAGATGCGTCAGGAGGGCTTGTCCTAGAATCACAGGTTGGAAGGCACTTTGCAAGTCTCCTGCTCCAATTCTGAAGGAATATAGAACTGATCTTGGGGAAGGAAAGAAGGAAGCAAGGAAGCATGGAACCATTAAGGGGGGGCTTGCAGAATAAAACAGTCCTGAGAAAGAAGAAGTGTGAGAAAGAAACTCAAAATCCCTCTGCCTTGCTTTTGTTCAATATAGGATGGGACAGAGAGAAACTTGGACAGGCTTTTAGGATTCTGTTTTGCTACCAGACTACAATGAAGCGCATTCCTGGGATCCTTACAATGCCTGTTTCTTGACCAGGCCTGCTTCGAAGGGTTGACATCAATCTTGAAAGCCTGTTCAAATTCCTCTCTGTTCTGTCTTACACTGAACAAAATCAAGGTGGGGTTATCAGTTGCTTTCTCACACTTCCCTCTATCTCAGGACTGTGTGATCTTTTCTGCAACTCCCTTCATATCTGTTCATGCCTTCCTTCCTCTGCCTTGCTTTACAAATCTCCTGTCCAGGGCAGGCATCCTCAGACCATCCCAGACAAATGGCTGCCCAGTCTTTGCTTGAAAGCCTCCAGAGATGCCTCCATGACTCCAAGAGGCAGGCTGTTCCATTACTAAGTATCTCTCATGGTCAAGAAGTTTGTGGTCCCCTCTGTAAAGCTTCCACCTGTTGGTTCTTATCCCATCAGGAGCTATGGAGAATAAATCCGCACCCTTTCCAGTGACAGTATTTTACGGCTTAGATCATCTCGTTTCCCGTTGCGCTTGGTTACTCAAAATCAGCCTTCCCCAGTCAGGTGTCCTGCACTTATATTGGATTTCAACTCATAATATCCAGCCACCATGGCTGCCTGGGGATTAGGCATATAAATGTTCAATTTGCAACAGCAGCTGCAATAGTGATAAGGACTCACGAGGAAAGACGCAGCCAGACATCTCTTCCCTGTCACAGCGCCTGCCTTAGGGGCAGGGCTTGTCATGCCAAGTGCGTTCCAAGGAAATGAGATTGTTTAGTGATTTTCCTCCCAGCATAGCTGTGCCGTCAGGGAGAGTATTGCAACAGGATTGGTGCTATGTAATAATTAGCTCACAAATGGAACCTTGCATTCCTTTGTGTGTGTGTGTGATTTCAAGAAAGGTTCTTAGATTTTCAGTAGCATCTTTAGGCCTAGATTGAACAGTCCCACTGCTTTCATACATCATTGCAATACTTGATGGAACCATTTTGTCTCTGACGGATGCGTCTGTCTGGAGGAGAGACTGTCGAATCTCTACTGTAATGAAGAATTGCTCCAATGAGCATAGTTTTCCATCTTGCCGACATGAACGTGCTGAAAGGGAATGTGGTTCATGTCCTTCCTGTTCAGAAGGACCCAGGAATAAAGTTGGCTGCTATTTTCTCCTCCTGGTTCTTAAAGTGCAAGAATTTGCCTTCCCCAAATGGAGCTAATCAGGATCAAAGGTGCAGTTGGCAGTCTTTTATAGTCTACTTTGCAAGGCTTGGAAGAAAAGAGGATGGAGGATGAGGAGCAAGTGATCTAAGTAGAACATCCTTGTTAATAACGTGATTACCAGATAATTGGGGAATTGTTACTGACTATTCCCAAAACAGTTTAACTGGATGGATCTCTTTGATACAGTAAAGCACTTCTTAATATTAATTATCCTTATGGTGACTGCTAGAAAAGAGAAGATGTGCCCTTTAGTCTTAAATTCTTCCCTCCCATTCTTACCCAAGGTTATGCCTACCTGGTGTTTGAATCAGAGAAGTCTGTGCGTGCTCTGCTCCAGAATTGCTCCCGAGATATGTTGAGTCCCAGTGGTCTGAGCGAGTACTATTTCAAGATGTCGAGCCGTAGGATGCGGTGCAAGGAGGTGAGTGAACAGCGTGGTGTAGTTGAAATGAAAATGAAATTAGTAGGTCAAAAGTTTATTAAGAACAAAGATCAGAAGTACACAGCGCGCAGACATCCCCATGTACACATGCATGTAGATGTACAGGTAGTCCTTGTTTAGGACTGTCTGTACTGTTTAGTGACCATTTGCAGTTACAACAGTGATGAAAAAGTAACTTTACAACCAATCCTCACATTTGTGACTTTCGTAGATCTGTAAAGCAAAGGAAAGCTGAAGTAAGATTGTAAAAACATGATGTTTCACTTAGCAACAGCTTTGCTTAATAACCAAGTGGCCAGTCCTAATTGCGGTCACTAAATGAGGACTATCTGTAAAACATTTTAGTTAATAAGAGGTAGCTGCCCAAGAGGCAAAATTAAAATGTGAGTTATAAAATAAAATTAAAATTAGTTGGAGAAATTATTGTGTCTTCACTACAGCCTAACAATAGATAGTAATATCTATTGTTAGATCTGGATTATATTGTTAGATCTGGATTAGTGTCTGATATTAGCAGTTTGGTGTAAAATGCACCTGTTTTGCCTGGGAATCATTGGAAGATGAATGCTAGATGGTGTTTTCTGTAGGAGTCACCATAAAGAAGCCCGTACTGAACTGTCTATCTTTCCAGAATCACACAGGCATAAATATTCATATATAGGGAGCTATCAGTTAGGAGGGCAGAAGGTAATTCTGGGAGTTGAAATCCCATCTTCAAGTGGCCAAGGTTGAGAAACACTATTCTAGAGTTTTGTGTAGGGAACTAAAGACCAGCAGTTGACTCTTGAGTCTGACTCCAAGACAAGAATGCCATTCTCTGCAGGCTGCCCTATTTAATGGCAGGTGGCAGGGTGGGGCATACAGAACTGTTCTTCTCCATCCTGCATAAGACTCCACTCGGGCAGTGGTCAGCTTGGACTGTAGGCTACCAACAGGGGCACCTTGCAATGATGCAAGTTTTCTAGTATATTTAGCAGCCCGTGTACAAAACTGGCAGTGCCTTGCCCCACGTAGGAAACGTGAACAGCGCTAGTTTGCAAGCTTGTTTGGTTCTGGCTGACAGCACTTCCCATTGATCTTTCTTAATAAGTCCTACAGGCTGGTGATTTCACTGGATGAGTGATAAATCTGGGAGCAGTGCCCCTGTTTTTTTGTTTTTGGCTTCTGGCCCTGGGGATTTCTGCTTGCAGCTTAGTTTTAGGTTTTTAACATGGAACTCAGCCTCTTGTAAGTATTGTTTCATGCTTAAAAAATGAGCCGATGAAAACACTTGTGCCTGCATTTGCCAAGCAGTGTCAGGAGAGAAAGAGGCATTGTTTGCCCAAAGGGACTGGTCATTGACAAGCCTTAGATGGCATTTGTAGAGGGCAAGTCAAGCAAACATCGTATCTAGGATTTGGAACTTGGACTTGCAGCTTGAATGGCCAGGAGTCAAGGTAGGTGGCAGGTTCAGAAAAGAACTTGCTCAGCTGAAAGATCTGATATATAAGCTCTTAGCCCAGGATTTTTCACTTTGGCATCTTCCAGACATGGTGGACCTTTAGCTCACAGCCAGCATGGGCAAGAGAGCAGAATCATTAAGAGAGCTTCCGCCTTTAGCCATTTCTAGGCCAAAAAAATGGAGCCATTGGCTTCCAGAAAGGATGTTGAATGCAGGAAGAGAAATGCTTGAGTATATATGGCTTCAAAATAATTAAGAGACCTCTATCTATATCTTAGTTTGGATGGAGATTATTCAGACCCTCATCCAGAGTGCATTTCCGGCAGTTCTGTTCCCAAGAGACATATTGTAGTGAAAAGTTGATAGTATAAAATGCAGACAGTGTTGGCTGAGTTCCCACATTATACTAAGTCATAGTTTCTATATTTTCTTGAAGCAGTGGTGATCTTATAAAACACAATGGCTGGGTTCATTCATCATGCTAAACTAAGCTATTATGGCCCAGGGACATGTATAGATCTCTGGGTTGGCTGTATGGTCTAGATCAGCGTTTTTCAACTTCAGCGACTTTAAGATGTGTGGACTTCAACTCCCAGAATTCCCTAACCAGCCTGCTGACTGGGGAATTGTGGGAGT